CATTTACAATGCGGGAACGATCCTACAGTTGCAAATCACAATGGAATTCTGTCGACCGCACATGCACGAAAAACAGTTGAAACCCCATTTACAATGCGGAACCGATCCGAGAATGATCCGAGAATATCCGAGAATAATCCGACCACACACGAGACCGTCTCGCACCCGTCGCACCGCAGAGGTAGATCATCGAGGTTCGGGGACGGACTTTGTATGGAAAAACATAGGGTTTCGTGCATCTGCTAACTCTCAAAAACGCATTTAGTGCGAGACTTTCTGCAAAACTCCATCGGCAAGTCCTCCACCAGCACCACTTGCAATCCCATTTACAGTGAGGGAACGATCCTAGAGTTGCAAATCACAATGGAATTCCATCAGCAACTCATCCACCAGCACCACTTGCAACCCCATTTACAATGCGGAAACAATCCTACAGTTGCAAATCACAATGGAATTCTGTCGACCACACATGCACGAAAAACAGTTAAAACCCCATTTACAATGCGGAACCGATCCGAGAATGATCCGAGAATATCCGAGAATGATCCGACCACACACGAGACCGTCTCGCACCCGTCGCACCGCAGAGGTAGATCATCGACGTTCGGGGACGGACTTTGTATGGAAAAACATAGGCTTTCGTGCATCTGCTATCTCTTAAAAACGCATTTCGTGCGAGACTTCCTTCAAAACTCCATCTGCAACTCATTCACCAGCACCACTTGCAATCCCATTTACAGTGAGGGAACGATCCTAGAGTTGCAAATCACAATGGAATTCCATCAGCAACTCATCCACCAGCACCACTTGCAACCCCATTTACAATAAGGGAACGATCCTACAGTTGCAAATCACAATGGAATTCTGTCGACCACACATGCACGAAAAACAGTTGAAACCCCATTTACAATGCGGAACCGATCCGAGAATGATCCGAGAATATCCGAGAATGATCCGACCACACACGAGACCGTCTCGCACCCGTTGCACCGCAGAGGTAGATCATCGACGTTCGGGGACGGACTTTGTATGGAAAAACATAGGCTTTCGTGCATCTGCTATCTCTCAAAAACGCATTTCGTGCGAGACTTCCTTCAAAACTCCATCGGCAACTCCTCCACCAGCACCACTTGCAATCCCATTTACAGTGAGGGAACAATTTCTTTGCTAACTCTTTCTTTGACTCACTCTTTTCCTCACTAACTCTTTCTTTGACTAACTTGTTTCTTTGCTAACTCTTTCTTTGACTACCTCATATATCCTGACTAACTCTTTCTTTAACTAACTCTTTCCCTGACGAACTCTTTCTTTGACTAACTGTTTCTTTGCTAACTCTTTCCCTCACTAACTCTTTCCCTCACTAACTCTTTCTTTGACTAACTCTTTCCCTGACTAACTCTTTCTTTGACTAACTCTTTCCCTGACTAACTGTTTCTTCACTAACTCTTTCCCTCACTAACTCTTTCTTTGACTAACTCTTTCCCTGACTAACTCTTTCTTTGACTAACTCTTTCCCTGACTAACTGTTTCTTTGACTAACTCTTTCTTTGAATAACTCTTTCCCTGACTAACTGTTTCTTTGACTAACTCTTTCTTTGACTAACTCTTTCCCTCACTAACTCTTTCTTTGACTAACTCTTTCCCTGACTAACTCTTTCTTTGACTAACTCTTTCCCTGGCTAACTGTTCTTTGACTAACTCTTTCTTTGACTAACTCTTTCCCTGACTAACTGTTTCTTTGACTAACTCTTTCCCTGACTAACTGTTTCTTTGACTAACTCTTTCTTTGACTAACTCTTTCTTTGACTAACTCTTTCCCTGACTAACTCTTTCTTTGACTAACTCTTTCTTTGACTAACTCTTTCCCTGACATTCTAAAAGTCCGTAACACGGAAGTTTCTCCCCCTAAACTTCCTTTGATGATATATTTTATTGTCAGAAGAAAAAACTGTAGAGGTCATACTGCCAACTAGCGTCCCCAACTTCACCAAAAATGTTGTATTGCGCCAAGGCAAGTTGCCCTAGGCGACACAGCTCGGGTGTGTACAACACACCATAGACGTCGAGGTGCATGTTTTGCCTGAACAGGATCCCAACCATTGGCTGAAGCGTCTCAAAAGATCTAAGGAATAGCCTCTGGTTATGTCAACAGTTAGCTATTGAAAATCACCATTTATAGTGGATTTTCCCATTAAAAATAGTGATTTTCCATAGTTTTTTGTATGTTTACCAGAGGGTAAGGAATAGCGAAAAAATGTTAAGAATGGCTTCTGGTCTGGAAACCCGTTGCCATGTTCCTACCATATGATATCTATGATATCCTGAGGATATAATGTGGATACCCTCTGGGAAAAAAAAAGAGTTTGCGAACTGGAAAATGGCCCATGGAAATAGTGGATTTACCCATCAAAAATGGTGATGTTCCATCGTTTTTTGTATTACCAGGCCGGGTAAACTCAAATTTTCAATGGTCTCTACTTCTTCTTGCTATCCCATCCCACCTCTTGGCAGCCATGACCCAGTCCGCACCAAGCTGCACGGAGACGGAGGTCCAACCCCTGGTTTTGAAGTTGGCTCTCCGTAGTTTGCTTTGCTTTGGGAAGTCCTAAGTGAAGTTTCTGTGGCTTCGGGCTGGTTTTTTGGGGGATGGAACAAAAATTGGTATTGCCATAGGATTTGTAACCACCGTCAGTTGGTATAATCATGGGATGTTCAACCACCATCTGTTGTGACATGGGGCACCTACTATAACTCGCGCTATATTTCCACTTCGTTCACTGGAACTGCACTTCAAATAAGGGGTACCGGCAGCCAACCCAAAAATGGAGGTGCTGGATGCCTATGACTGGATAGAAATCTTATGAAATCTTGGCAGGGCGGCATCAAACTCAAATGATCAACATAAGATACTCATGGTACGGTGGCAACGCAGGTGTGACAGTCGCAATGTTGCGGCATGAGTTTCCCCGATCCTTCACATGACCCCCCGTGAATAACACGTAATTTCCGTGAGAGAAAACACCAAAATAGATCGCCCGCCCATTGACAGATCATCCAGGTTTTCGACTGGCTGATCATCACTTTCCGCGTATCATTGAGCCATTTTTATTGGAGCTAGCCTTGGAGAATCACCATTTGAATAATAGGATATATATAATTTGATATATAATAGGTAAATCATCGAAATCGAAACGAAGCAATTTGTGCCATAGCTCTGGCACCACCAAATCACCAGAGGGCAACTTTTTCAACTTACAAACTCAGGCCCTTGCAGCCTGGTGAACCAAGGTGCCACATCCCACAGGAAGGTGTACGTCCTGAAAGAAATGGCTTGTGCTTGGAAAAACCCAATTAGCTTGCCATGTTTCTACGGCAAATTTCTGGTGATATACTGGAGATATAGTTCTGATATAGTGGATAATTTTAATATAGTTAAATACTTAAGTAATGGAGAATAATGAAGATACAATAGGGACTCAACATATATGTAACCAACAAAAAAAGTACTTGGTGATGTAATTATAATTTGAATGTAATGGTTATGTAATTGGGATCTAATGGGATACCATTGCAATATAATGGGGATATACTGGGGAGGATACCCTAATTTTGAGAAAACTGTAGATGCAAAGAGAAAAGATCATGGCCAAGGTAAATAGTGAGCACATGGGGTGTACTGCACTTTTATGCAGTCTCTTCAGATGCTTGAAGCAATTTGGACGTCAACTACGCACAACCAAAATTGTGTATCGCCTGTTGAAGGAAGGTTGGACCAGCTCAAGTTCGGAGAAAATTCACCCGTTTTCCAACCCTCTCCCTCACGTGCAATAGCTATAGGGAATATCCCCAAGTTAGGGAACCAAATCTGTCGTATTCACGGCTTGAATCCGATGGGAAACAAGTGGTTATAAGGCAAAACCCTGGCACCTGGATGCTACCTAAAATAGCTGGTCAATAGATGTTGATTCCCCTAAATATGGTAGTAATAAGTAATAAATGCATCCCCAAGTGAAAGTCAGACTTCAAAAACACTTAACTTCAGAGTTCGTTTCTCTAGCCCGGTGATACTTAAATTGCTCGCACTCGAATTTCCAAGTTTCTCAAGCAAAAATCACCATATCACCATATGATTGTCCGCCTTATTGCATCCCCGAAGTCTCAGCGTTGATCTGGACCATCCACATATTCACCCTGCTGAGCTATGACAATTCAACCCTGGCACCTTGCTGAAATGAATAAAATAACTAGTAATTAGCCTCTGGTAAAGGTTTACATAGCTATGGGAAATCACTCTCTTTTCATAGGTAAATCAACTATTTCAATCCATGTTCATCCCTGAAAACTGTTTGGAAGCCATTACCCTCCTGTAATTTAAGTGCCATAGCGAACTGGAAGCCATGGCCCATAGAAATAGACAGTAAAAACCTAACAGAAATGGTTGAAATGATGATTTCCCATAGAAAAATGTTGGTTTGCTGGAGGTATCGGGTTTCCCATAGCCACATTTTATCACCCGTATGCCTGGCTGTCTGAAAATTCGAGCGGGACATCCTCAAGATTCGATGCTTCAGAACCTCCGTTAACATGTTGATAAATTCGCTTACCCTCTGGTAAACTAACATAGCCATGGAAAATCACCATCTTTTATAGGTAAATCAACTATAAATGGGCCATTTTCAATAGCTATGTTAAATCACCAGCGGGTATCCTATCCCAATCTTGCACGAACCCAAATATCAGGACGAACCCAAAATCTCATATCAAGTTGGTTGTTAAATGTTCGTAAAATATCCCCATAAAATGGCAGGTAATCACGTTGACTTGGTTGTATCCCATGATAGGCTATCCCCATCACATGCTGATCCCACAAAATATGGATGAATATGGATAAATATGCCTCTCAAATATCCCCGTTTATAGATGTGTTTTCAGCCATTGGCCCAACCCTTACCAGTAGTTTGGCGGTGTCGGCTGAAAGTTGGGACCCCATTCAACCAACCATGGATAAATCGTTGTCGTACTGCAGCCTTGGTGACCCTTGCGCCCTTGTCGTGCAAGTGCTTGGACATGTGGTGGACGACTGGTACGAGTGCAAGGGCATCTCCCCGGCACAAAGTTTCAGGCTGAGATCACCGATTGATCTGCAGGCCGGCATCCATACTTTCTATGACTTGGTTTTGCTCTCCAAAGACCCCATGAGCTTAGGCTTTGGTGTGGACACTCAGTGCTTTTCAAAAAAGGCAATGTCTGATTTTGAGAAAGTAGCAATCTTTGACATATGTGGTGGAATGGGTGGATTCACTCTTGGTTCTGCTCCTGTTGGAATCGAAACCATGGCATTTTTGGACTCAAATTTGCTGGCTTGTGACACCCTTCAAGCGAATTTCAACATCCCAGTGATCCATGGAAGTGTGATGGACATCCAACATGTTAAAGAACTGCATGCCATGAAGACAGAGGCATTTACACAGGTTACTGGAGGTTTTCCATGCCAGCCTTATTCACGACAGGGTGACATGCAGGGACTTAGGGACCAGCGTGGAAATGTCCTCACCGCCATTCTTCACAGCGCTTGGCTTCTACAAGCTGACGCATTGCTTTTGGAGTGCGTTGACAATGTCACCCAGTTTGCCGACCTCCAAAGGCTCCTGGATACGTATGCTGAGATTGCGGGCATGCACATCCACAAGATGGTCTTCGATCTCCAGGCACAGTGGCCAACAAGACGCAAGAGATTTTGGTGTCTCATGTACGCCAATCATCTTCCCGAAATGTGCTTGCAGGGCTGGCCACAATGCGATGCCTGCAGAATGCTAGGCAATGTGATGCCATTTGATGCGATCTGGCCAGACCAACATGAATCAGAGCTTGCGTGGACCTCAGAAGAGATGGCAAGCTACTTTGATCCCAAGTATGGCTCTGATGTTCGCATTCTTTTGCCACAGCATCAAGCGCCAACAATGCTGCATTCATGGTCCAACATCCTGACTGGATGTCCTTGCGGATGTCGCCAAACGGCCTTCTCACTCCATCGTCTTCTTCAAGGTGGAGCACGCGGCTTTGGCCTGGTCTCGGCAAGAACCCATTCTGTACGACATCTGCATGCAGAGGAAGGGGCGTTACTCTGCACTGTCCCATTGAACTACCACTTCCCTGCATCTATGAGGGCATCTCTGTGCTTGCTTGGTCAGATTGCAGCTCCACTCCAAGTACTGTGGATTCAATCCCAATTTGTGGCTCATCTTCAAGAGCACTATTGGATTTTCTCGACCATTCAACCACTGGAACTCATCCACAACTACAAGAATGGACTCTTGCAGCAGAGACTACAACGATGGCAACTTGCGAGCATGGATTTACCTCGCAGCATCAACTTGGATCTGGAGGGTGTCACCTCTGTCATTGTGGTTCAGTCCCCCATCATGGCTGCTGATGTTGAACGTGCAGAATCAGCACTCATTGGACATGGCCACTATGTCACTGTGCATCAGGAGGGTCAAAGACTTCCACCTTGGTGCCAACTTCATGCAGGTGAACACTATCAACTTCAAGTCCACGTCAAGAGGCGGGCTACATCATGCCACATGCAAGCTTCCAGCCTGATTGATGCTCATGGAAATGGACCCACGCACCAGATGAACAGCCCTGCGCATACCATTGGTCTGGGGGATACACACATCTGGGCTGGGATGAAGTTCATCTTGGAGTCACTCAAATCATCAGGCGCATTGGATCTGCCCATGATCCTTTATCCCTTTCGAGCACGTCAACTCATGGAGCTTGATCTGCCACTTGGACTTCGGCAAGATTGGGCACGCAGATTCTTCAACTCAAATGGCAAGATCTATGTCATCTATGAGTTTCACCGCCATTGGACTTTGCTGGCTGGTCAACTCATGGATAAGATGGAATGGTGCCATTTTGATGGACTTTCGACCGAAGGATCACAAGTGCAACTGCAATGCGCCAAACATGTAGCGACCAGACTTTCCCATTGCCTTGGACTTCGCATGGGTGGTCTTACATCTTCCAGTGGGCAACAACAAAGCCACGCACACACTTGTGGAACTATCGCGCTGCACAACATGGCAGTCTCCCTTCGATTGGGCTCAGTACTTCCACTCTTGGCAGAACATGAACTCCACCAATGGTTCTTTCAGCTTTGCTCTGCACAGCCATCTGTGATAGCCAAGGGGAAGACCAATGAGCAAGATCCTTTGACTCGCATGCTGATGGACAAAGGAGTCCCCAGCCAAGCAGTTGCGGACAGAGCAAAAATGGTGAGGCACCAACTCGGGCATCAGCAAGTCCAACAAGCTCTACAAGCCAAAAACCCCTGGGCGGCCCTCAAGGCCGCGGCATCAAAACCAGGCAAGATGTTCAGATTAATCACGGAGGAGGAACTCCAGCAGCATGTCCACCACAGAGCACAGACGAAGCACGGCGCAAAGATTCAGAACGCCAAGACCAAGAAGAATGCAGCCCAGAGAAGTGGACCAGTCCAACTTGATCCAGATGACTTCAAATTGGACGCGCAGCATTTCCAAGATGATGATGGGAACCAAGTACCACAACTTCATTTCCAGGACATTGAGGCCGACAAGCATGGAGTCGCTCTGGCTACTACAGCAATGGCCAAACATTTCTTGGAGAACCCAGCCAAGATCAGTCTTGGTGGGTTGGCAATCCTCTTCATTGACAATCCACCTTCCAAGGTTGTTGAGGAGGCACAGCTTGAACCCATTATCTTCCCGGCACTATGCATTTCCACAGATGAACACACCATCATCATGGGATACATTCTCCAGCTGGGTGACAAGACCATCAAGCGAAAAATGGCTGGCAACGAAAGTGAGCCAGACACAGTTGAGACCCAGGTGATCAAGCTTCAAGTTTTCAAAGACCAACTTGAAATGGCATGGGATCGATTTGCAACTGCACCTGTGCGTCACCTCATTCAGATGATGGAGGCTATGCAACTCTGCAAAGGCCAACGTTGCGGCATTGATTGCTGCAAACACCATCCTGGGGTCGATGAAACCTTGGATGCAGTAATCATGGAAGTCTGGTCTCGCAACTTTGTGGATGACAACGGCAAAAAAACGGATCCATCATCAGCTGACACCTTCACAGTATTCTTGCGAATTCCTGAGAGTGCTCTGATGAAGATCCTTACCACCTCACCATTGGGAGTCTATGTGGAACCCAGGGGCAAGCAGCCCAGGGAGCATGACGACAAGTTCAAAGTCATCTGGCTACCAGGCTCTTCATTCACGGAGGCTCAACATCAGTGCCGAACATACTCCAAATCACTCTGCCTGGTTCGACTCAAGCTCAAGTATGGCATCCGGGTCAAACAATGTGATGAAGCGGCAGCATGGGCCAAGCTCAGACCAGGGGTGGAATTTGTGGACATGAGCATACAGCAGATCTACGAAATCTTCCCACTGCCACATGGCACCCAACGAGCAGCCATCAACAAGATCCTTGCGGATTGGTCATGGAAAGCACGTGCCCTTCAACCAGGACGTGGCAACTTCCACCACATGGCTTGGAGAATTGGATCAGCCGAAACCCCGCCTGCCAATGTGTTGACCGCCTTTGGGGCTGACGTGATCATCAAGGAGATCAAGAACCTGCAGATCCCTGAAACCAAGCCGACCATCTACGCACCTGCGAAAACACAGAAGCACTTGCGTGAAACTCCAGCGCCATCTTCGGCAAGATCCTCCGGCAATTCTGATCCATGGCTTGAAAAAGACCCATGGGGTGGCTATGCCAAGACCACCACAACCCCATCAGCAGGCCGACACTACAAAGCTGAGTTTCAAGACCAGATTCGCGAAACAGTGGGGACCGCACTCAAAGAGCAGCACCACAAAGACATCCTGATGACTGCTCCAGCCAATGATTACTCCACCGAAACCGAACAGAGGTTCGTTGCAATTGAATCAGGTCTTCATGAGCTCAAGGCCCAGAATGGTCAGTTCTTGCAGTGGTTTCAACAAACTGGCGAAAGACTCCAGCAAAATGAGAGTATGATGCAGGATGTTCAAGACAATGTGCAACAGCATGCGAGTGCACTTCAATTGATGTCGGCATCACTCACCAACTACGAGCACACTATCGGTGAGGTCCAACAGACACTGAACCTGCACCAGCAGGAGATTCATGCAATGGGCACGAACTTCAGTGCTACGATGCGCACCATGAAGGATGACCTCTCAGGAGAATTGATGCAGTCGTTTGATCAGCAGTTCAATAAGCTGGAAGCTCTGCTGGAGAAACGTCACAAGACAAGTTGACTATCTCAGCCTGGTTCCAGGAGAGGGCTTACCTGGAAGCCAGCAAGATCAATTCAGCCCATTTGGATTGCACTTCTTGTTTGGTTTGGACTGATTCTTAGCCCAGCCACGGCTCTTCAGTCTGGTGCTTCCTTTGCCCGGCACTTCATCACCAGCTCAGCCACTTCGGTGGACCGAGATTTTGGGTCGAGGAAGTCATCAGACATTGTTCAGGAGCCAATGTTCCCATCGGCTGCGGGCACCAGATATGGGGAAGCCCGTCATCCCGGACCAGAGGTTGACTCTGAATACTGGTTGGCTGTGGGTGTCACCAACCCGGGAGGACTCAGGGCAAAAGAAGATATGGTGCTTGCTATGGGCCCAGGAATCTGGACCATGACGGAGACACAGCTCTCACAAGTGACTGCAAAATCAACTGCACGCAGCTTTCGAGGGGGCGGTAACAAATTGCACCGCAATGTTCGTCCTCACTTTAGTCACCCAGCTCCACTACGACAGGGCTCCACATGGGCAGGCAAATGGACAGGTGTCTGCACTATATCCGACTGGCCATCAACAGCGATCCAACTCCCATGGCCCTCAGAACATTGGGAGACGGGCAGAGTACTTCTCACTCGCCACTGGGTCAATGCGGTTCCAGTCACAGTTGGAGGTTTTTATGGATACGCACAAGGGCCAACATGGCCGAAGGCCAAGCAATTGAGTGATCAACTTCTTGAGACTTTCACACGTGAAGTTGTCATTGGCATGCAGGGCATTCGACTTTTGGTGGGTGACTATAATCAAGAGCCCAACGTCTTGCTCCAACAGCGAATTTGGGAACAATATGGATGGTGCAATGCACAACAACATGGCTTACACATGCTTGCACACACATGGCATCCAACATGTAAACATGCCACTGAGCCGGATCAGATATGGCTCTCTCCGGAAGCGGCTCGACTTTTGCGTGCAATAGGGGTCCATGAGCATTTTGCTGACCATTGCACCTTGGAGGTGAAACTACAAATGCCCACCACCAGCACCACAATTTGCAGATGGCCACGCCCTGCTGCAATACCATGGGAACAAGTTGAGCTTGCCGACTGGACACCAACATGCCAGACAAGCCACAATGATGGAATCGACTCTACGGAGTTCATGAAGAAGTGGGCTGCGGAATATGAGGCCGCAATTGATGGTCAGCTGCAAGCCCATGGGCAACGACCAATGAAGCCAAATTGCCATGGACGTGCACAGAGACTTGAACCTGAAGTTCAAGATCACCAATCACCGATTTGCAGACCGAGCCGTGAAGGTGAGGTTGCCCTTCAATGCACTCTGGTTGGAACTGCGGTTCGTAGCTGGTTCAAACAGCTCAGACGAATCCAAAGCCTTTGTCATGCTATTCAGGCGAATAAAACCACACCATCGGCTGTCAGCTACAGGGCATCTTTGTGGACGGCAATTTTGAAGGCACCTGGCTTCTACCCCAACTTCATAACATGGTGGGGAAATAGAGACTCTCCATGTGATGGGGCCCCAATTTGTTTTCCAGACAGACTTCCAACCAATTTCGATGCTGTCCATGTTCTGTATGTTGACTTTCTGCAACATTTTCGGAAGTTTGAGAGTTGGCACAACAGACAGAGGCAGGCCAGTTTGAAGGCGAAGTATGAGGGATCACTCTCTTCAATATACAAGGACCTGCGTGATGAACCTAAAGGAGGCATTGATCATGTTTGGAAAGATGTCAAATACCAAATCCTCGCTGTTGACCATGACCACAGCCAACTCATGCTGGATGGTGTCATCAACACCAATTTTGACTCAATATGGTACCATGAAGACTGCCCTGTTCAGATTTTGGCAGTCGATGGAGCAGTATGCACAGTTTCTAATACTGCCAACATGGATCCTGAAGATGAAATTGTACAGAGAGTTTTCATCAGCGAAATCAACGAAGTTTTGGATACTTTTACTCAACACTGGCAGCCTAGATGGAACCTTCTCAATGAAATTCCTCACGAGGCTTGGACTCGAATAGTTCAGTTCACCACTGCCTATATGCCCAAGGTGCCGTTTCAATTACCAGATTTGGATGTTGCGACATGGGGTCGCTCTGTGAAGCAGTTCAAACTTCACGCTGCGAGAGGACCAGATGGTTTTGCACGTGATGATCTGCGTAACATGCCTGCGGGCTTTGTGACACCACTGCTGCACATGTTCAAAAAGATTGAGGAGGGCACCATGCAATGGCCACGACAACTCCTATTTGGTACGGTCATTGGCATTGCGAAGAGGCAACAACCACATGAGGAGGGCCATTTCCGGCCAATTACCCTGTTCTCCATGCTCTTCCGTTGCTGGGCAAAACTTCGCACCAGACAAATGATTGCGCAGATCGCAAAGTACATGCCGCCAGAAGCACTGGGCTTCTTGCCCCACCGAGAAACTACGGAAGTTTGGCTTCTTCTTCAAGCACAGATAGAGCTCATGTTAGCCTATGACGAACCGCTATGCGGACTCAGCTCAGATGTGCGGAGGGCCTTCAACCACATTGGAAGAAGACAGGTTTTCCACATGGGCGAGCATTTGGGATTTCCATCCACGCTGCTCACTGCCTGGGGAGAGTTCCTCAACAATTTTGTGCGTAGGTTTATTAATTCTTAAGAGTTATGCTCTATCGGGTGCCCGGGGACCCTAAAACTGGGTACGACTTGGGCATCGGTACGGGGGCGTACGGTGGGTACGTACCGTGGGTACGTACACTGGGTATGGGTACGATGCGGGTACGGTGCGGGTACGGTACGGGTACGGTACGTGGGTACGGTCCGTAGGTACGGCGTACTGGTACAGTGTACCCACCGTACCTGTTTTCAGGAAATGTGGTGCTATTTCCAAAATGTGCTGCTATTAGCGCCACATTTTGGAAATAGCACCACATGTCCTGAAAACAGGTACGGTGGGTACACTGTACCAGTACGCCGTACCCACGGACCGTACCCATGTACCGTACCCACGTACCGTACCCATACCGTACCGTACCCAAAAGCACGTACCTACATACCGTACCCATACCCAAAAGCACGTACCCACGTACCGTACCGTACCTAACCCCCCTAGTTATGTACACCGTACCCCCCCGTGATGCTCAGATAGAAAACCTTGATTTCATAACTCTTAAAAAGTAATAAGCGTAGGTTTGACATTCATGGATGTCTCGGACCTAACATCAAGTCCGATAGTGGATTCCCTGAGGGTGACCCACTTTCCATAGTGGCTATGTTGACGGTCAATTGGGGCTACCATATCTACATGAAGATCTACGTTCCCCAGGTTCAAGCCTACAGTTTTGTGGATAATATGTCTCTGGCGGCCAGGGAGGCAATTCACATCATCCAGGGGCACTTTGCCATGATTTCATTTATGGAGTTGTTTGGTTTGACAATGGATGAGGAGAAGACATTTGTTTGGGGCTTGACACGTCACCTCCGCCAAACTCTTCAACAGTTGGGCTTTCCATGTTTGTTTGATGCGTGCGAACTGGGAGCTTCCATGACTTATGGTATGCAGATCCGCAACCGTCTTCTCAAGTCTAGAGGCATGAACATGCAGGCGAAGTGGCAGAAGCTCAAACGATCCATGGCTCCTTTTTCACAGAAGATTTCCATGTTACCCAAGGTGTACTGGCCAAAAGCACTCCATGGATCGCCGGCTTGTGTTGTTGCTGAGGGATACATGACTTTGCTGCGACGCGAGGCTGCCAAAGCCCTATCGGTTAATGGCGCTGGCTCCAATCCATCGTTGCGATTGTCACTTTCGGATGATATGTGTTGCGATCCGGGTTTTTATCAGCTTACGCATTGTGTGGCAACCATGCGCAGATTGGGACGCAAAGCACCTGATTTGCTCTACATGTGGAAGATCTGGCATCAAAGTTTTGATGGACGACTTTATCCTGGGCCTTTCACCAAACTTACAACATGCTTGAACCAAATCGGCTGGAGCATCTGGCAACCTCCGATGGTTGTCGACCATGAGCAAAATTGTTGGAACCTCTTGCACATGGATGAGAAATCAATTCGGTTGCTCCTTGAAGATGCTTGGTGTCAGCATGTGGCGGCCACCACGAAGCACAAAACTATGGGTGATTTGCAAGGGATGGATCCATACCTGACAAGACTGGAATACAAGAGACTTTCCTCTTTGGACAGAGCGTTGCTTTCGTCACTGCAATCTGGCGCCTTCATTTCAGCAAGCGAACAAGCGAAATTTGACATTGAGAAGATTCACATCTGCGATCTTTGCCAATGTGAGGATGACAGAGCGCACTGGTTACGTTGTCCTCGGTTCCAAACACTGCGGCAATCGATTGAAGGATGGCTTCCTGATCATGAAGAGCTGCCTACCTGTGTGAAGCACCACCTGCTGATTCCCAAGCTGCAGGACATGGTTGAATGGCGAAAAGTTCTGTTTCAAATTGAGGATAACTCTAATTGTTTTCTTTGTCAACCCCCCGAAAATACCCCCTTACATGTCTTTACTGGTGGGTCATGCACTGTTCCAGAGCACGAGCCGCTGCGAACGGCCTCCTGGGGCTTTCTCTGCGCAAACCTGGGTGAACTTGTGGCGGCTGGACATTTGCATGGGCCCATGCAAACCATCGACAGAGCTGAACTGATGGCGCTGGTTTCGGCAGTCAGATGGACGCAGAGGAACGACATTTGTGTTTGGTGCGACTCCCAGTCCACCGTTCATGCGGCAGAGTTCATCATTGAGCATGGGTACGTACCAGCATCCATGGAGAATTACGACTTGTGGCTGGCATTTCTGGCGGCATTGCAGCTCAGAGATGGACTGACAACTTTAGTCAGATGGGTGCCATCACACCTGCAAGCTCATCAAGCGGAAGATCCATTTGAGCAATGGCTGATTCATTGGAATTCTGTGATTGACGCAATTGTGACTCGGTGGAATCACCGACGCCCATCATTTTTTGTAGAGCTGCAAAGGCGATTGGAGGAAAAACTCACATGGTGGCAAGAGCGTGTGAGTCAGTTGCGTCAATTCTACTTTCGAGTAGCTAGACACGGCACTGACTTGGATCATCAACAAACACCAAATCCTCAAGCTTCAGATGTCATTGAGATAAGCGATGAAGAGGTTTGCCAGACTGAGTATGACCTTATTGCTGATCAACTTCCTTTGAATTGGGCAGTGAGGTGTAGACAGACGCCAGGCAGAGTGCCAGGCCTTTTCGTTGAGCAAATTTTGCAATGGCTCAGTGCCATTGAACAATTGGGGGGCATCTTTTTCTCTGTCAGTGATTTGGAGTTGACTTTTCTGTTTGCTGCCGATTCTGATTTTTCATTTCCGTTTCAAGTTGATGGCTCCACTGATTGGAAGATGAGGGCTTTGAACAATCTTTTTCAAACCCCTACGGTTTCAATGTTGCTTCGACCGGTACAGCAGGCAATGCAACATATTGATAAACTTTTTCCTGAGGTTTTGAATAGGGCTCCCCCTGCTCCGTCACCAGACACTGGGGTGTACATGAAATTTAGGAGCCAACGCCTCAGGATTCCTGCATCCCTTCTTGAGGAAGCAAGGGATCGACTGAAACGGTTCACCTGTTCCAGGCATGTTCGCAGAACGTGCGACATTGCCCGGCCGATGCCATAGACCAAGGACGCTGGCTACTGCACTGCCGCGCCGTGCATAGCTAGCATGCAGACCGTCCGAGCTATAGATGTGTTTTCCTTCACCCATCATTGGTTCCTATAAATGTCCCAGTGTTCCGTAAGGTCTCCAAAAGGCCAGGCGTCAGGAGCAAATCGGCTGCCCTCTCCGCAGCGTCCAGCCAGGAAGTGTCCCCAGTGGCCTCGAGGCCGCCGTGAAAAATAGGACTTGGAAGACCTCAAATGTGCTTAAGAACATGTACGAACAATAATGTTGGGATTAGATTATAATCCACTTTATCATTGATTTATGATCCACTTCATGGTTATGGATTGGTTTAAGGGAAAAATCACAGGAAACAGCCAAAATTCCTAGGAAAATCTATGATTTCCTGTAGATTTTCCCTTGAGCAAATCCATTGGTTAACAATAAAATCAAGAAAATACTGACTTGTGTAGAATGTCATGTCGATGTTGAAAATGGGACTTGGAGTTGTCAGAAAAAAATAGTTGTTAGTATGGAGGTGGGAGCAGTATAACATGGAAAAGGTTGATAGGAATAAAACTAGCTATATAAAATGTAGAGTGTTCAATTGCTATGTTCATAGCAATAAATGAATGGGAGTTGGATGATAGTTATAGCATGAGTTATAGCTAAAATATCAAAACCGAATAATGATATTTCAGTAATTGCAAATGTAGTGGTGTAAAGCTCATGGAAATTTAAAAAAAATAACGTTGTTTCCAAATAGTGTAATAGATAATTGTCGTATATGTCAGGTATTCCAAATAAACGACAGTTGTGAATTATAATGGATATTACTGACATAAACTTGTGGACAATATCTCAATGGCCTATTGAATGTCATGATTTACCTATCAAACTTGTTGATTTTCCAGAAATATTGACTGGCTTGCGGGTGCAATTGGGGCTATTGATAGGTATGTCCATGGTAGTAATCCCCAAAATTGCTGATATGGTTTTGTCTGAGAAATTGAGGGAGACACCCGAAATTGATAGTTTAGAACCTCATGTTGCGCATTGAATGGACAATTTGGGGTATACCAGATGGTCAGACACGTAAATCTGGAAGTTCCCCAATCATAAACGGCTAGTCTATGGGTTACCAACAACCACGTGATGGTGCATCTAAGCAATGCAGTGGTCAGCAACCACAATGTTCGGCATATGCACAGGCATTTGACATTGTAATGGCAAAAGTATCTCTGCGTTTGCATTTGCATATGTAAATAATGGTATATGTAATTGTGTAGTGTACCCCTAAACCCAATGGTTAATGATCATTATCCCTATTAAATGGCTATAATTGGGAATATACCCTATTTTCAGACAAACCCATATGCAGATGGATATTAGCCGAAACGGCTGAAAAATGTTACCCCCAACCTGCAGGGATTAGTTTGTGAGGCTTCTCTGTTCCAGAGGAATTCCAGTGCTGCCAACACAATTTACCCTCTGGTTATGTCAACCGTTTGCTATTGAAAATGAGCCATTTATAGTGAGTTTTCCCATTAAAAATGGTGATTTTCCATAGCTATGTTAGTTTACCAGAGGGTAACCCTCTTCCACTTGATGTTGCTTGGAATAATCAGTTTAATCAGTTTAATCGTTCAAAGTCAGATGGGCCCACCCAAAACTGGCCAAAATCGTCGACGACCAGCTTAAATCAATAAATGTTGATGAATTAAAAGTCGACACCCCAAAGGTTGTTTGGCAATTTCAAAATTCAATCATCACCCAACGACGGCATCAACTTTTGTGGCACCGGGCCGGACTCTGACTGTTAGCATTGGAAAACGCCAAGGAGCTTCATAAAGGGCCAGGAAAGCTTGAAATCCTTAGGCGTTTTGGACGTTTTGACAACTCCAAGGGATTCACAGCAAAACATGGCAGGGCTAGGATCAATGCTGGCATCTACTAGCTACCCTCTGGTAATTTAACATAGCTATTGAAAATGGCCATTGAAATAGTGAGTTTTCCCATTAAAAATGGTGGATCTTTCCATAGTTATGTTAAATTACCAGAGGGTAAAGTGGGCACAAAAGTGCGAATCAAAGATCTGCTGAAGTCTTCTTACGTGGCATTATGGCCCTCGCGGGTCGCTGAACTTTCTTAGGACGGTGTGCTGAAGATGGCCCAACTTCCAGGTTGCCACTGCGCAAAAATCCTTCCATGTGCAAAGATATACTTAAACTCCCCATCCACGCATTAGCCACTTGATGTCCCATGAATATCTGCTACTATGGCTAAATCAAGTTAAATCCGCATATGATTGTCAGTGTTTATCAGACTAAAATCCGCAAAACATTTGTCTAGCCATCCATGTCTCGAAATGTTCCCAGATTTTTTTGGGTTATATGCCAATAAATCCCATCATATCCCCATTTTCCTATTATCTTGTGTGTGTGTCTGTGTTAAATCCAAATATGTTCTAGGTTTAATCCCATCCCCCGTACATGAAACATCCCCAAGGCCCCAGAAATGAATAGATCCAATACTAAACGAGGGTCTGTAAGTTGGTGTTTCATATGAATGGGGGAAGGGATGATATTCAAACATAGACACTGAACCTGATTTTCAAGTTGATGTTTACAATTCATATGGAAAAATCCTAGAACCCCAACATCCCATATTTGAAGGAAAGCACACCCTGGATACTTCACGCATGAACCCACCCCGTCTGGTCCCAGGAACCAGCCCATAAGCCTTCCTTATCCTCGCAGCGGGCATCTAGGGTGCCGCCCCACAGCGTCTTCACAGTACTGGCGAAGTGGTTCCCCGCTTTCAGCGCAACCTGGAACCAAGCTGGATATGTCTGAGAACGGGAATTACTACCTCCCATTTTATGATATACCTCTAATATACCTTGAATATACCATGTAATATATCTTGAATGTACCTGTAATATACCTCTATCTAATACACCTCTCATCAATGGCCATTTCAGGAACCTAAATTGGAGGTACCTACCATATATAAGGCCTGTGTAAGGGCTATGTAAGAATATCCCCACAGAATATGGCCTAAAAAATGGTACTAACGTACATCCATTTTAGGATCCTGAAATTCGCATTGATTTTATGTACCATTTAATATACCTTGAGTATACCTTTGACATACCATTTTATTGGTGATGCAATATGCTCAATATACCTTTAATATACCTTTCTTGGCTATTTAATTTGCCTTTAATATACCAATCTATTGTCACTGAAATTATTTTCAATAGACCTTGAATATACCTTTCAAATACCATCTAATACACCTCGAGTATACCTTTCATTTACCATTTGATGGAAAAACAGAAAAACTTAAGAAAACCAACAAAAACAATTTTCAAAGAAGATAGTAGAATGCAAACATTCTGAAACATGCCAGATGGTAGACAATAGACATGCTGAGCGATAAAAAAATACGGACAAGGAATGAAAGACAACAACAAACACCAAAAACCAAAAAATCAAAAAACAAACCAGAATCCCTGACTGATGTCAAAAGTGTTGATTTTTTGGGGTTTTCCTTGAGTTTTTTGTATGTGTTTTGTTTTGTTGATTTTTGCAGGTAAAAGTTGGTTTTGACGCTGAATGGCTCCAGATTTTAGGAGAAAAGGCAGGCGACGAAGGGCAGGCGACGCCAAGAACCACAGAACTATGCCTGGCTCTGGGCATGGTTGCCTAGACCTAGTTTTTTTTTCATTTTTTCGTGTTTTCTCTTTTTTAGTTTTTTTTCGTAAAATCAAAACCAAAACTTTTGACTTCAGGCAGGGATTCTGTTTGTTTTTTGGGGTCTTTGGTTTTCGCTTCCATCTTGGTTAGTTCATTACATATATAGACATATGATATCCCTTCTTGAAACTATTGCCCAAATTTAAACTTGGTAGGTACCTAAGGGGGGTACCATATAGTACCCATATGTATATATATATATTATATATATATATTAAATATATATATATATTATATATATATATTAAATATATATATATATTATATAAATATATATTATATATATATATCATCTACATGAAGGTTCATGGTCCACGTCGTCTTGACCACTTGGTCCACAAGTTGGATACCTCCAAGCCAACGTGGCACCTCCAAGAAGCGTGGCTCGCGGTGTAAGGAGGCGCCCAAGGTCAAGGGTAGAACCAGAAAGGCCTCTTGCGCCGACGTAGGAGCCCAGTCATCATCCTCCAGACCTGTGAGCCAAGGTTTGGGTGATATATTTTACCCTCTGGTAAACTAACATAACTATGGAAAATCACCATTTTTAATGGGAAAACTCACTATAAATGGGCAATTTTCAATAGCTATGTTAAATTATCAGAGGGTAATATCCTGCTCTTTGGGGTGAAAAATGAGATGAAAGTTGTTTAAAATAATGGCTTTAAGACGGAAGATTGATTTATCGGAAGGACTTTAAAAAAAAAAACGACATCGTTGGCTTGCGGCCCATTTTCTTCAGGATGTTCATGCCCCCCATGCCCCCGTGTGTGTTTATCGTTGGAAGATCGGAGCTTCAAACCTCAAATTCCATACTGCGTAGCGCTTGTCTTAGAATCCAAAAGGGGGAGTCGTTCTGAATCCTGCAGATATTCAAATGTTCGTGACTCAAAAGCACTTCACAACTCCAAGAATCATCAGGAATGTATCAAAATCCACTGCTTCCGGTCAGTTTGGGTGTCAAAATACCCAATTCTCAAGATCCTTCAACCCCCCAATGGTTTGCATCCCAAACGTCGAGGTGCGGGCAGCGTGAACCTCGCATGCTTTCCTCGGCTTTTTGTATAGAATCGTGGGAATAGAGCCTATCAGATGATTCCCAGTAGAAGCATAATTAGATTTGCCATGTGTGGAGTTTACCTAGAAATTAGATGATTCCCAGAGAATTCTAATACATGATCAAAATACCAAGGTTTACTAGGTATTAGAACATCTAGTGGAGACAGTCATCTTGGACAATCTAGTCAAAATACTATCAGAGTCCCCAAGATTGGAAAATACACCTAGTACACCTATATACATATATATATCTATATATATACTGTATCCACATATTATCTATATATAGAATCTAGTGTAATAACTAGGTTGAAACCTCAAATTATATGACTTCTAAGACTTTTCAAGAGTTGAGGGAGCCAATCCTTCTCAACGTGACAACGTGAGGAGCCACATCTCGGACAAATGAAGTGGTACCAGTAAGGCGAATCCCTTCCCCTATGCATGTTGTACACCCTAAAAACCATAGTGGATGTAGGGGAATTCACACATTCATAGGGGACCATATAATGGGGGTGTTTCATATTGGGGGGATGGCATTCATTTTCTCAATAATTGGGCATCAATGGACCCAATGCCTGCCAATTGCTTGTATTCAATGGATCGTTGGGACTGCTCGAGAAATACTGTACCACTTGATACCCAATAAAGATACCCTATCTGCATACCCTCTGGTAATTTAACATGGGTGCAGAATTGTTTTTGGTATTTTTTTTTTTACAGTTTTGGAATTTTTTTTGGGGTTCGTGCCTCTTCAATTTTTCCATGGTTTTCTTCAATTTTTCCATGGTTTTCTTCAATGTTTCCATAGTTTTCTTCAATTGTTCCATGGTTTTCTTCAATTTTCCATGGTTTTCTTCAATTTTCCATTGTTTTCTGCAAGTTTTCCATGGTGTTCTTCAATTTTTCCATTGGTTTCTTCAATTTTTCCCGGGTTTTCTTCAATTTTTCCATGGTTTTCCAATGGTTTTCTGCAAGTTTTCCATGGTTTTCTTCAATTTTTCCATAGTGTTCTTCAATTGTTCCATGGTTTTCTTCAATTTTCCATCGTTTTCTGCAAGGTTTCTTTGGTTTTCTTCAATCAATCAATCTATATATATATATAGATATGTATGTATGTATGTATGTATGTATGTACGTAGGTAGGTAGGTAGGTATGTATGCATGCATGCATGTATGTATGTATATGCAGGGTGTGGTTTAGGGTTTAGGGATACAACATGTAATTAGGTATAATTACATGATTATTTGTTGTTTATGTTGGGATGCAAGTTGTGTATAAAAACAACCACAAATATGTCATATATATATATATATGTATACGTCTGTATATCTATAAGTAAATATGTATGTGTATTTATAATATATATATATACTTATAGTTATATAATTATAAATATATATATACAGTGATATGTATATACATATTAATATGTATGTATATATATACATTTATATAAGTACATTAATATATATAAATATAAGTGTATATATAAATGCAAATATATACATATACATATACATATATATATATGTATACGTGTGTCTATATATATATATATGTCTAGATATATATATATATAATTTCTAACAAAATATTAATATAGTCGAATCAAACAAGTGTATTGAAAAGTGTGCAAGTTTGAATTTAAATAATTAAAAAAAGCGGGAGGGGGGGGATTGGGGGGAGGGCGCAGCGCCTCCCCGCCAAAGCAGATTGGAAACACCTATTTTACATGCAAGGTGCTGGGTTGAATGTGATACTCAAGGTGTATAGACTACACGACATGCACCCTGGAAACATGTGGAATACAGTACATGTACTTATAGATACATACTTCTTTATATATATATATATATACATTTATATGATTTATATGTATATACATATGAATGTATATATATATAGGTACATAAATATATATTTATATGTAAATATAAATATATAAAAATAAATATATAAATATAAATATAAATATATAAAATATCAATATGAATATGTAAATATAAATATATCAATATAATATATATTTAAGTGTATATATACATGCATAAATATAAATATATAAATATATTTACATATATATATGTATATATATATAAATATATATATATAAATATATATGTAAATATATATATAGGTAAATATATATATATATGTATATATATGTAAATATATATATATATGTAAATATATATATATGTAAATATATATATATATTTGAATTTGAACATAAATAGTAATAATATGTAAATATATATAAAATATATATATATAAGTAGAAAATATAAATAATATAAATATATCTAGATATAAATATACAAGTGTGTATATAAATGCATATATATATATACATATATATATATATACATATAATATATACACATATATATATATATATTATGATTTTAATTTAAACATAAATATATATATATATGAATATAGTCGATTCAAACTAGTGTATTGAAAAATGTGCAATTTTGACATACTAAAAATACCACCAAAAGCCATGGAAAGCAAGCCAAAAGCCAAAAGCAAACAAGCAAAAAGCAAAAAAGCAAAAAATGCAAAAATAACAAAAAGCAAAAAAACAAAAAGCAAACAAGCAAAAAAGCAAAAAAGCAAAAAAGCAAAAACGCAAAAAATCAAAAAAAGCAAAAAGCAAAAAAGCACAAAAGCAAACAAGCAAAAAAGCAAACATGCAAAAAAGCAAAAAAAGCAAACAAGCAAAAAAAAACAAAAAAAAACAAACAAAAAAGCACAAAAGCAAAAACGCAAAAAAAAAAAGGAGAAAGCAAGATAAAACAAGAAACCCAAAAAAAAATCCAAAAACGTAAAAGAAAAAAATTCCAAAAAAAAATAGGCCTCCATTTAACATAGAGAAAATCACCATTTTTGAATAGGTAAACCATCTATAAATGGGCCATGTTCCATAGCTATGTTAGTTTACCAGAGGGTAGTTAGGAGCCACTAGCAATTTTCCCCATTGACACCCAATCAGTGGGACGACTATACAACTTTGAGCCAGTCCCACTTCAGCAGCTCTCAGATTGTTGGGAACTTCCCAAAGCATCCTGGGAAAATCCACAAACTAAATGGGCACATGGACATCAATGGGGAAATCATCCAAACTATACCGCAAGCCATCTTTCATTACCAAAGGGTTTGTCCCATTATTATCCAATGAAATCCCATATCTATATCCTGAAATCCCCATCAATCCCTGTTGGTTAAACATGGGATTTCCACTGATCCAAAGTCTCCAGATCCAAGTCACAAATGAAAGGCGTCCCAAAGCGATGTATTGACCCCACGGCTACGGCCCACCGCGATGGCACGAGCAAAGTTACCTAACGCGGTGGTTTCCAGGTGCCAAGATGGTCATCCAATGGCATCCATGTCATGTGACCCAAAACCTCCAAGGAATTTTTGCAAGTTGTACCATGAAAAAAAAACCTATTTATGAGTAACGTGGAACATAGCCAGGGTCAAACCATTTGGGTGTTTGGATGTATTTGGTTTGTCATCCATCCCATGATGGGAATCCTAACACCATGGCGTTTTTATTATCCAAAATCCCGATGAAAATATGGCTTGGTTGATGATTCCCATCCCACAAAACCGGGCGACCCATGTTTTGACCATGGAAAAGCCATGGCAACCGAGCGACCCATCGCTTGCCCTTGCGACACCAAGTCCATCCTGGCTCTTGCGGAGCACGGAAGGAGTTTTGGAGCACCATTGGGGCAGCCAGGACATCGCCAAAGAAATTGGAACAAAAACATCAGAATTTGGAACCATCAAACTTTGGAGGATTTTCCCAACATTTTCCCGACATTTTCCCAACATTTTCCCAACATTTTCCCATCAACCATCAAAAATGCGGCTTGGTCTGAAAATGTTGGGAAAATCCTCCCAATTTTTGATGGTGGATTCTGATTTTCACCATGAAATTGCCGTTTTTTTCGGGGGTAGAAACGGCCTACCCATGTCTTTCGCCACGATCATCCAAGATGTCCAGTGCGAACCCGCAAGCCCCAGGACCCAGCTCCAATCAATACCCTTTACGGTAAGATTAGATAGGTATTTGGTGAATGGGAATATGATCGGAATGTCATGGTAATATTGGATGAATCTGATTGTAGCTTATCCAGATACTTCAAAAATGAGCATTGAGATTCTAGTTAGTGTTGACTCTTGGACTGAGCTTTCAATCCACGCCCCAGGTAATTTCAGGTTGTCGTTGTGAAACTTCAGCCTCCTCGTTCTCAAAATCCCTTCAGCCCCACGCTTCGTCCCTCTTTTTTGAGCACTTCTGTATATTCTCGAAGGAACCCAGCTCCCACTTCCACTTCTACACCCCCACCACTAGCGCAGCACCAGCACCCGGCCTCGCACGACCAACGCCCTCCTCCCAAACGCCGGTGCTCCCGTTCAAGGCCAACATGAAGCCGTTCGCTTTGAAGGGCGCCTTTCGATCAAGGACAGTGGATTCTAGGATCCAAATCTGGTGGGATTTCAACAACAGTTTTCCATTGAACCCGTTCTAGAAAAGATTTCACCTGGCAGAGATTTTTCAGTAAGGTAACAGAAGGTCAACATGTTTTGCCACTACGCAGATTGCACCAAGAATAGTGGAGACCTTTGAGCAAAAATGACGCCACCCATACAGACTGCATGGGTGTGTCCACGAATTTTGGGATAGAACATGACAGCATCGTGACTTGGAAAAGCATCTGGGTGGCAGCAAACTAGCATGCAAAAAGATATGAAAAATCATTGGATTTGTGTATGCTATCCAGCATCAAGGAAAATTCTATCCAGCATCAAGGAAAATGTTGGTGCCGAAACAAACATCAAACCAAAAACATTGAGCGAGCTAGCATCCAACCCTGCTCAACCCCAAAATCAGCGTTGAAGCTTCAAACACATGGGTTCTGTCTGAAAATAGGGTACCCCATTCCATCCGCTGCTTAATCACTACTATTCAAAGACCATAGATGAAAGGTACATTCATCCATTTTCACTTCCCCATGTCACTGCTCAAACCCCCATAAATGCATCAGTTTGGCTGATTCATCACCTCCAAATTTTATGGTTATGGTTAATCATGGTTAACATGACACATTCTATGGATTTTATGGATCATGCTTCAAACCAGGAAATCACTTTGTGCTGAATAACCTCTGGTAAACAGCCACATAACTATGGAAAGATCCACCATTTTCAATGGGAAAATCCACTATAAATGGTCATGTTCAATAGCTATGTTTGACATAACCAGAGGGTAACCTCCATTTTCCCATGATTTCCAGGGCACCACCGTAAATCTCAGGCCATCTATCCCTCCTGCGCCAAAACGTCCAGGCTGCGTATGCCCAGCTGAGCCAGCTCGGGGCGACCCAAGGTGGAGGCCAAAACCTGCAGCTTTTGCGAAGCCCCACAACTGGTGAGCTAAGTTTGTTTTTAACTGACTTAACTGGCTTCACTCTTGGGTTTATGATACTTATAAAATGATAAAATGGTGACAACTATCGTTTCATGGTGGGTTTATGCTACTTATAAAATGGTGATAGCTATCGTTCATGATAGAGTTTACTCCAACATTTATGGACCACACAGAACTCTGCGAATTCTCGTGCCTGAAAGGCGTATCCAGGCGCTTCCGCCTGCCCGGCCCATCCCATGGCATAGATCTCGCGTCCTCAGATGCGCTGGGTTTATGTCCCATGCACGTGTGAAAGAGATGATATATGGTAATTTAACAGTATATCATGTTAAATAACCCATGGTAATTTTAATGTTATAATATGTTATAATATGTTATAATATGTTATAATATGTTATAATATGTTATAATAGTATATCTATAAATTGATGATATATGATACCATCTGGTTATGACTAACAGTTTGCCATGGAAAATCACCATGAAATTTAAAGATTGGTAAACCATCTATGAATCTATGGGCCATGGCTTCCATGGCAAACTGTTAAATAACCAGAGGGTATTCATATCAAGAAAGATTTAGGAAATGTATCCTGGGTGTATCTTAACAACTTCCCAACAAATTAGCAGGTCATCTCGCATACCCAAAGCTTGTCGCTCAGGGATACCCACAAAAATTGCCATTGTGATGGGGAAAATCATGATGAGTTGCATATTTTGACACAACCCCGGATCCTTTTTGCAAGGTGAAGTTGGGTGAGGTTTTGCATGAACATTGAACCTCTAAAGCTTCCGAATAATGTCCTGAAATGATCTGAAATGTAGAAAAATAGATGCAGGGTGTGGTACAGGCTGTGTACCATTATCCTATCATTTTGACAATACTGACGCCATCATTTTTGGAAACCATGACCCTTGTGTGGGACTCAATTTCTGATGAAACAAAAAAAAAACATCGATCTGACAGCTGACCCAAATAATGTCGGTCTTCCTCAAAAGCAGCGGACTCACAAATGGATACACGTATAATACTTGGCATCACTACTTAGGTGCTTCATCCTGGTGGGATATCTGTCCATTAAGCAGGGTAAGTACCCTCTGGTAATTTCACATAGATATGGAAAATCACCATGCTATTAATGGGTACATCCACTATTTCAATGACCATTTTCAATAGTTTTATGTATGTTTACCAGAGGGTAGAGTTAGTCCAGTCACAGGTCGAGCCCATCCCAACTTTGGGGATCGATCCTAGGCCAGGGTCGATCGCTGCTCCCAAACATGTCGAAGCCCGGGAGGCCATTCGACTCTCGCCATCTGCGGAGGGCATATTCAACCTCAAAGGAGCTTCAAAATGGGTTTGTTTGAAAATAGTGTACCCCAAAAAAACCAATGGTTTTGCTGATCATTATCCCTATTTTTTATGGCTATAATTGGGGGTATACCCCATTTTCAGACATACCCAAATGGGGAAGCCAGGGATTTAGGGGAACCACAAACCCAGAAAAAGGCACCAACTTTAACTGCCTTCAACTTTGAGAGATCTCACCACCAGATTATCAGATGATAGCCATGGATGAGGGGTTACCCTGCTCTATCCATGGCTTTAAGTAACTCCCACCTGCATCCGCACCACTCCCACGACTGATCCCAAGCAGCTTTGGAATGCAGGATCGATGTGAAACATGGAAGCCCCGATGTGTCCTGAGGCCCACGTGAAGCTGTGCAGTTTCCCACCCAGTTGACCTCCACAGCCCTTAGGTTCGAACCTATATTTTTGAAAATTGCCAACAGCATAACCAAGACCAGGCCTTTTTCAAGGTATCCTTTGAACGACCTGGGAACTCTGACAAGACTCAAGATTGGCCCGTGCCAGTGCAAAGTTCAACAAGGATCGAAAGCCATCGCCTTTCGCTCCAGATTCGGACGCAGGACCCACTTGAAGATAATAACCTCGGCGGGAAGTGGGCACGGTGAAGCTGATTGGTAATATCAACGTTGAGGTTGACTGAAAATCGGAGATGTGAAATACCTATAATCCTATTATAATACCCATAAATACCTCCCTTAAGACGGCTTTGGTACTGGATTTCTTCATTTTTGGTATTGTGGTTGGGGGATGGACTTCCTTGATCATCATTTTCGTGTTCCCTTTGAATCCCTATTTTGGCGTCTCCATTTCGGTGCAAACCATTGAAACTTCCAGTGCTTTCAACCGCTTCTGCCACTTGGGATGCCATAGGTGGAGGAAAATCCCAATGGGACTCGCTGGATGGCGAGTGAGTGAAGTTGCAACCCGAATGAGACGTGGTCGTTTTTTCTACCCTCTGGTAAACAGCCACATAACAATGGAAAATCACCATTTTTAATGGGTAAATCAACTATAAATGGCCATTTTCAATAGCAAACTGTTAAATTACCAGAGGCTATGGCCATTTGCAGACCAGAAACTCTTCTGTTGCGTTCCGCCTGTGAAGCCGCGCAGAGCTGCTGCACTTTCGGGAAAGACAGAAAGAAATACAGAGTGCGGTGGAGAGATATATTACGATGGTGACAACAAGGATTTACCACATGAATAAAGGGGGATTGATAACATAACATGCACTAGCAAATGGTGATAAAATGGTGATATAATGGGATATAATGATCGAATTAATGGACATTGACGGATTTCACAAGCAGCATATGGGTTTGTCTTGAAAAGTTGGGTAAAACACAAATCCGAAGGCTGATCATCATGTTCCCATTAAAACTGCCATTTCAGGGTATCGCCCATTTTTTGGACAAGCCCACATGTTTCCAAATCGCCATCTTGGCCGAATGCGCTGCTATAAAAGACTTGCCAAGAATTACCATCTGGTTATTTAACATAGCCATGGAAAATCCCAACCATGAAGGAGGTTTTAATGGGAAAATCATCCATAAATGGGCCATTTTCCATGGCTATGTTAAATAACCAGAGGGAAATAGAAGATTCACAGCATCCCGAATCTGGATCTATCTGGATCTCATGCGTTTCCACATCATCCCACCTGGAGGAAGTTGCAGAGCCACATCCAGCAGGGCGCTGCAGTTGCGCTGACCCGTTTTCATCATGCCATCCTGGGCGCAACGATGCGAAACGCTGGGTGGGTTGACCGGAAAATTTGTTGGGCAGTTTTTAATGGGAACAAAGTTAGGATTGATCAGTTGGTTATTTTTTAAGCAAATCCCAACTGAGTCATTTAAAAAGGAAAAAAACATATCCCAATTTGTATCAATTGAATGACTGAGATGGAGTTGCTGTAACTATTTGATGTTGTTGCTTAAGATGAACAAATTGTTCCGTCAACAACTGGATGTGAATTCGGGATTGATCCACAGCCAGCTTAACATGGAGATCTTGATTCACATTGACGTTGGAACAGCTCTTCATCTTCTATCCGTTGCCAAGTGCTTCTGGCTGGTATGCACCTTCAATCCTGTCATATTTGTGGTCAAGACCAAAGGTTGACCTCGAATTCTCCATCAACATACTGAACCGAAGACTGTGACTCAGTAGGAGACATAGTAGGAATGATTGGTTAATTGCTGTCTTTGCTGAATTTCATTCTGAATATGCATGGGTCAAAATCATTCAAAATCAACCCATCACTACTATCTGGGATCAATTTTGCTCAGCAAAGCTGACATCTGTGGTAGATCCCTTAATCTGGCGATGGAGAACCCATGAAAAATGCTGAGAGTTGCGTGCCCCCTGCCCGATTCTGCGGGATTTACTACCAACCATGCTTGATTATACCTACGGCTATGCTATCCCACTTAGAGTTTGCTGAATATTCCACCGGTTTCAGAATCCCATGCGGGTGAAAAGTTGCACCGGGACTGCTTTCTCAATGATCGCTCTTGATGTGGGAAACGCAATAGAAATCCAACCCCCATTTTACCATGGTTTGGTATTGACCATCCAAAATGGTGGGAACCACCGGCATCGGGTTTGCCACGACAAATCATCAAATACGTCCAATCATTATCGTTGTAAACCCAATGGCATCAACCAATGATACTGGGGATTCTCGGTAAAAACAACAGCAGATTTCCCATGGCCTCCCATGGTTTCATGGAAACACACCTGCTGCGGTCGCGTCTCATGGCCATTCATGGCTACAGGCCCAGACAGAAGTTGCAGCAACGTGCCCTCCGCGGCCACCTGCAGAGCTGCTTCGGAAAGCTGAAACACTGAGGTCGAGCATTTTACCAGCAAAACATGGTGATCTAATGAGATTTGATACGATTTAATGGAATTATAATCAACTTTATGATTGATTTCATGGGAGTTCATGGGATTTCATGGGATTTCATGGGATTTAGCTAGCTAAGTTGGTTGAAATCAGTCGGCAATATCGTAACTCCGTTGGCTTTATGGTAAATATGTCGAACTAGTTGGATGGATTCATAAACCGAGAAACCAAACTTCTGTCAAAACCCTGTGGGTCCCCTGTAGCAAGAGGATTATCTCCTTCTCCAATCTCCTTCTCCCTGGTAGTCAAACATGGCGATGGACAAATCCTCCATTTAGTTCGATGTTCCTCTTGAGACCTCCATCCCCAGACTTTTTCCAGTCACCAGGCAGTTTGCCTGCAGATGTGTCTCACATGGCTGGGTGACACCACACATCCCAGAAACAACATTTACGGAAAGCTGGCATGCCATGAACCTAGGATTCCACAAAGCAACTGCGACTACAGGCTACTTGAACCTGCCCTTGTGAAGCGGTGGAATTGCCAGCACGGGCACGAGCTTGGAAACTTCTTGCAAAATCCGGCTCTCTTTGCCGCCCAAAGGGGCGGTATATGGTCAATTCTCTCGACTCCATTGAAATCAATGTTGCTCGAGTCTATGCCAGCTTGCAGCTGCATCTTCGCTTCATCACCAGCATACACTTTGAAGAATGACACCAAAATGATCCAAAATGAGCCCACAAAGGAGTGTCCAAAATGATACCATTTCAACTCCACTGGATCCAATGGCATCAGTTCGTTTGCACGGATCGGGTAGACTTTTGCCATGAGTTCTCCACAATTCCGGGGTTCCATATGTCTTTCCAAAGGCAGCCACACTTCTGCTGGCATCCGTTCGCATCCGTTCCCATCCATGTCTACAAAGTTGTGTCCCAGGTAGAGCCAACTGCCAAAAACGGAAGGATCGGATGTGTCGCATCATCAAAATGGGGAGATGCTCCGACCTGCCGATCTAAAGAGGCCAAGTGTCAGCGGTTTCAAGGCACCTCACTTGCCACTGGCTCTTTCGGTGGACCAAATTTTCAGGGTGGTGTCATCCGAGCCGCTCACCAGTCGCTGGCCGGTCATGGTCGTGACGCTCGTCAAAACCAGCACCGAATCACCTAGGATTTTTCAGCCTTTTGTGCCATTAGAAACATGGGAAGTCGGAAGTACCTAGTTTGTGGGGTTAAACATCACTTTATTTCTGTTCCAAAGCTTCCTGCTGGTTTCAGGTTTGTGAATATCTATTCGGAATTCAAATCCAATCCCTTCAAACAAAAAAAACAACGCTATTTTGTGTGGTCCACCACTCAATGAATGGCGGCCCACCACTCAATGAGATGCCTCTTCAGATCAAGTCATCGCATTTTGTTCAAGGAATGGTCGGTACTGAAGCCCCGTCGTTGATCATGGCTAGGGCGGTCCCATGAATCTAAGTGAAAATATTCCACGAATCATACGTCACTGGGCTATGGAAAAAATGTGCTTTAGCTTCTGGTAAACTAATATAGCTATGAAAATCACAACTTTTAGTGGACAAAACATAGGACTGAATGGGCCATTTCCATCCATTTCCATCTATGTGATATGTTAGATTACCAGAGGGTATGTGATATATTACAAACCTGCAATCATAGATATTTTGGTGTGTGGTGTGTATATATATATATTCCACACATCATAACTGGGTTGATGACATATTTCGCTTCTTAGTCACTTCCCAAACGCTGCCCCAGTGACTGTGATCTTCGAATTCCACTTCACAGCTCTGCAGCTCCACATCCCACAGGCGACAGCTACGATCCGAGGACCCAGAAGCCAAGTGGCCATCCTCGGCCACAGCTGATGTCGTGGGAAATTTAGGGAAAAACCTGGGAAAACCCTAGGTTTCTAGATGGAAAACCCATAGTTGTTTGTGGAAAACAACCTGAAAACATGGGAAAACCCGGAGTTTGTTTTTCTGGGAATGAAACAACGATTGCCTGTTAATTTGCCATCATGTCAATTGAAATATGTTGAAATAATTGCAGGCAAAAATCAATGGATCGGTTGGCTGGATTCCATCCCTATCCCTTGGTAATCTCCGATTCTTGTTCAATGAATAGGATATGGCTGTTGAGCAGTTGTCGACAGAACTGATGCTTCGGAAAAAAGCAATGGCCTATTGTATCCCCATTGATGGTTCTTAATACCTAGTTTATCCCCATTTTATATGCTTAGATCCCCGTTGTATCCATGTTATGCCATGACTTGCTCTAGTGTTGATCCACAACAAGGCTCTGTGAGAAAGGTCAGCGCCCGCACATAGGATTTATGTCCCTCCAAGGTTGCAACGCAGCTCTCTTGGTCGATATTCCAGAGTTTGACGGTCTTGTCCTCTGTGCTAGGTGAAGTGCAGCATTTGGCTAGGAAAGTCATGGCGATGTGATCAATAGTTCCAAACAAATGCAGCTAAAAGCCGTGAGCAAACACCAAGAAGTATGTGTTTTATGAACGCATAGCGATCATATGCGATCATCATCCGTGATAGAGCCATAAATGATCCATGATCGATTCCATTCACGGGCGCATCAGAACGCAGATTAAATCAGGGCAACAACTTGCCCCGCAAGCTTGGTGAACCACCAATCACTCATCACATTTCTGCAAACATCACATATCGGCAGGTCGGGGTCAAAGCAGCTCGAAGTTGAATAACCCCCATGCAAGTCTAGAAGTAGGTACTTTGAGTAAACAATATCAAACTGTACGAACCATCCCAAGTCATTGACCCATCCCCATGATCATTGGCACCCCAACCCCCTGCGATCATCTCCAGGTCTCCTTAGAACCACTGGCGACCATGCGCCGCTGTGCGCAAACCGCCACGCACGTCACCGGTCCACCATGGCCCAGCAGAACTGCACGACAGGCTGCTTCGGTGCGATCCCAAAGTCCTTGTCATCCCAAGGAGCCGATGGTTGAAGGTTACCCTCTGGTAAACGTTGATAAACGTCTACATAACTATGGAAAGATCCACCATTTTTAACGGGAACATCAACTATAAATGGCCATTTTCAATAGCTATGTAAACGTTGAGGTTAAAGTTGAGGTAATCAAGACATAGGACCTCCAACCATTGAAATTCCTCAGAGATTTCAATGGGATGTCTCTTTCTTATCTGTTCGGGGCACTCTACACCTTCCAACATGACGAAGATCTGTGGTGGGCCCAGAAACCTTCAACATTTCGCTGAACATATCCGGACGAGGTTACGAGCACACAAAAATGTTGTCTTTACTCCCAAAGCTGCCAAAGTCAGTAAGATTGTGCCACTTGGCAAACATTAAAAAAAAAAACACTGACCCACCCCCCATCATATGGGGCCAAGAGTCGCACCGATCGATCATTGCCACCACTCACCAGCAACTCCAACGGCTGACAGCTTTCCACCGCGAGAACTGCATCGCTATGCCCTTGGAACTTCCGCAGTGGTTGCAGCGTCTCCAAACTCCAGAGGTGAATCAGATGATCTCGGGCGCCAACTGCAAAGGTGCTTCCCAGAACTGCCAAGGATGCAACTCCTGGGATATGAAGCATGGTGGCAGATATCAGAAATTTCCATGGATACCCTCTGGTAAACGTTTACATAGCAATTGAAAATGGCAATGTATGGTTGATTTACCTAGTAAAAATAGGTAAAAATTGTCATTTTCCATAGTTATGTTAGTTTACCAGAGGGCAGGCCCATGGTTCTACCACGTTTTTACCTGTTTTGAAAACTGAACTCAACTGCTTGTCCAGTGTGGCTCCCAGTTGGTCAGTCATATGTCCATCTTGGGCATCCTTACATGTCACCCGGCCTGGTAAACGTTTACATAGCTGTTGAAAATCACCATTTATAGTGGGTAAATCCATTAAAAATGGTGATTTTCCATAGTTATGTAGACGTTTACCAGAGGATAATAATTTCTTTGCCATTCAACATTTCTCTGAAATTGAATGACAGATCGGCACCCAAACTCCTCGGGGAAGACCCTCGATGGCCTGCAAAGGCATCAAGAGATCTACGTTTGAACTCAACTGAGACTGAAGAATTCTGAGTCTGTCGGGAGAAATACCTGGCCCAGACAGAGATCCCACTTTTTGGCAAGTCGAGAAAAATATGGTATTGCACGGATACTTCTCCTTTTTGTCCAAAACCAATTCAAGGGAACCATCTGGCCACCCAGCTTCTTCTTGCAGACATCCCCCATTTTTGTACCTCAATTTTACCCCATCAAAACTGGACATGTGCAGACTCCCCCAGCATTTTCCACCCCAAAAATCTGCCAACTTCACCCTCAGCCTGTTGGCACTGCAACTGGCCGCTCCAAATCTTCAGGCTCCGGTCCTTGGAGATCGAAAAGAGACGACCTTCCGAATCAGCGCTGTGCCACTCCAACTTCAGGATGCTGTCGCGATGTCCTCCCCGGACGGAAGAATTGGGTAGATGGTAAAGGCTTAAACACTTGGTTGCTGCAAACGAGTCATGGTGATTTAAAAAACGACGATCATTTTAATGTGTGTAAATGATGTTTGTTTAGAAAGGTTTCCGTATTTTGGGCGGCTAGATCACTGCAACAGGGAAAGAATCAGGATGAAAACCAACCAAACCTCACTTTGGGGAAGCAGCGACTCTTGCCCACTCGACTAATCGACCCACATTGTGGGCTGGTTTAGGATCTAGAACCGTCCATTTTGGGTCAAACAATTTGTTGATCCGTGTTTTGCTAGATTCATACTGGTTGGTGGTTTCAACCCCCCCTGGAATATGAAAGTCAGATTGGATCATCATCCCAACTATTGGGGAAAATAAAAAGTGTTCCAAACCACCAACCAGCATAGTATTCCGAAATGTAGGTTGCTTGTATCACCACAAAATGGTGGCTTATCCTAATACTTCAGAACTCCCCTGGCAAACACCACATGGCTTCAGCCACCCCCAGTGCTCCTTGCGCTTCCGCCAGGCACTTCCCAGTGTCAATGCTCCAGCATTTCAGGCAGCCCCCATCAGAGCCGCTGATCACGTCCGCGCCGTTGCAGCACAGGGCCGTCACCGCATCCTTGGGGTATGCCTGGCGAAGGACCGTATGGCCATACGCATCTTTAGCACCTGGATCTGTCAGATCTCTCCAAGTCTATGTGTATATCTATGTGTGTATATATATATATATATACGTGTATATGAAAAAGAATGCTGATATATACATACGCACAGATCACACAGTATCAATAGATAGATATGTGTAAACTATAAACAAAATGTAAACAAATATGTTTAATGGATACTCTCTCTCTCTCTCATTAATCAACACTAACATCTTCCCAAAGTCGGCCTTCACCGTAGCAGTCGGCAGGCGTTTTTCCTGGCGTTTTTGCGTCACCGCCTCGGATGAAACCTCCAGGGAGCGAGCCAAGGTCGCCAGGTCCAAGGCGATGCCCTGGGCAACCTGGGGCCAGGAATGTTCCAAAAACAAAGTCATCATTATCAACTAAGGTTTAGTTTATCCAGGAATATATCAACTAATATGAGTTGAATTACTCATAAAACTGGATCAACTAATATCAACTAAAGTTTCTTAGTGATTAGTCGATGTAACTGTAATTGGTTGATATAACTAATTAATATGAGTAATATTAACCAATGTTGAGAAATGTGCTGAAAACAGGGTGTAAGTACCCAGTTTATGGCAATGCTAATGTTGGGAAAATCCTAATGAACCATTTGTTTTGCGGGGTAGCCTATTTTCAGCCAAACCAAGTTGGGTATGGATTAAGACCAGCCCATTCTTTGGGGGAACATCAATAAACAACAGCTACCCTCTGGTAATTTAACATAACTATGGAAAATCACCATTTTTAATGGGAAATCCACTATAAATGGCCATTTTCAATAGCTATGTTAGTTTACCAGAGGCTATCTCGTGGTGAACAGAAGGGCTACTGCTTCAGGTGAAAGTGAGAAAGTGAGAGGGTTTTGACTCATGGCTACTTTCTGAACAACATCAGATATATGAATCGGTGTAAGGGAGTACAGGCATAGCTGTGGTTATAGACGAGATGGATTTGCAACCAAAGAAATCCCCAATTGTCAATAGTTATATAATATATATATAATAGAAATCTATTGTAGTTTATTGATGTTTATCATAGTTTGTCTACTAAAACTACTAATGTGGGTAAAACAACAATAAGCCATCCCCAAATCACAATTTTTACAGGTGGTATGGACTTACCATTCCCAGTCATGGGTGGTAAAAATGACATTGTTTTACCCACATTAGAACTATTGTTATAGGCATCATTAGAACTATAGTGTACCCATGGAATATTTGTTACAGTAGTTTCCCCCATATGGGAATGGTGTCATTGGAATGGGTTATTGTTAGTCATCATGGTGAATTGTAGATTGTAGAGGAAATGTAGATGACAACAATATTATTTATTATTAAGGATTAATGGTATAGTCTATAGTTGACTATAGATGAGTATTGTTTAATGGTTATTTAATGAACTATTGGTATAGCCATCCGTTCGAACTATTCTTATAGTCATCTAAGGACTATAGTTTATCCACTATTGTTTTACCTACTAGAACGGTAGAATGCTTAGAACTATAGTCATCTACATTGTACCAATAGAATGGTTGAACTTATTGATATAGTTATCATTAGAACTACAGTGTACCCAATGGAATATGTATCGTCAGTTTCTCCGATATGGGAATGGTGTCATTAGAATGGATGGTTGGAACTATTATGATGAATAAACTATTGCTATGAGAACAAGGGCTATTCATTAATCATTAAAACAATAGTTTTTTACATATTCTCTGATTATTAATAATGATCAATGAATATCATATAATAGTCCTGTTCATTTGTTCATTCATCATTAATCACATTTAATCACTAATCATCAAAACAATAGTTATTTATGAATTGATGAACAATCAATGATTGATAGTTATTTACCAATGATAGTTGACCACATTAGTTATCTGGTTGGTGGTTTCAACCCCTCTGAAAAATATGAGTTCGTCAATGGGGTTGGGACGACATCCCATATATGATGAAATGGAAAATAAAAGCCATGTTCCAAAACATATTAATTAGTTGTGGGGAATAATGGGGAAAAGTTATCTAATATGGGAAATCAATATGGTAAATAATTATCTATTCCCCATATTAATGGTTAGTTATTTACCAATGATAGTTGACCACATTAGTTATCTGGTTGGTGGTATACCTACCCCTCTGAAAAATGATGGACTTCGTCAATGGGGTTGGGATGAAATTGCATATATGAAATGGAAAATAATCCAGCCATGTTCCAGTCACCACCAACCAGTATAACTTAAATTCATATGATACTTTTCTGGGATGATATCACCATATACATCATATACATCCCATTCATATCCCATTAATGATTGGATAGTTATTTACCATATGAATTAGCTATGGGGAATAGTGGGGAATAGTTATTTACCATATTAACTAAATGGTAATTACCCATAATTACCCTCTAATATGGGGAAATTAATATGGTAAATAACTATTCCCCATATTAGACTATTGACCAATTAATAGTTATTAGATGGTAATATCAATAACTATATCCCCATATTAATGGTTAGTTATTTACCAATGATAGTTGACCAACCAGTTATTGACCAATCCATCTCTTTCCCACGATGCGCCTCCCGCAACTTCAGCTCCGGCAGCGCCGCCGCCGCGGCGCCCAAGGTCTCGGAGAGCTGCAGCAGTCGCGAAGCGGCCGCGGCCATGGCGAAGCGGCCACGGGTCAAAACGCGACCGAAAATGGTACCCGAAGTCATAGCTGCTATAGCTGGATGTGAATAAAGCCCCAAAATATGGTAAATATGGGTTTTTTGATGGTTAGAAATCCCAGATATGGTAATAGGTTTTGACAAATGTTCAGTTGAAGCCAAGAAAAGTGGGGGATTTTATGGATAAAAATGTGAGTCGAAGCACGAAAAAAGCTGGATTTGATTGATGGAAATGGGGAGACGACTATAATATGTAATCACACGGACTGATGACAATTTGTTTTGACTGATGTGAGAATGTGGATTCGATGTGATTCGACCACCATGTAAGTTGGGTACCACCATGCAAGTTGGGTTTGAACCAAAAGACAGCTAGGTGCGACGAACATCGCCGAAGATTTGTATCAGAAATCAACCGGGGAAATACCAAGACAACTTGGGGTCGTGGCGGCCGTGATTTTCGGCATCGCAAGTCCCTTCCCATAATCAAGACCACCTTAGAAACCTGGTTTGGAATATATTGATTCCATGAATTTGGAGGTCCCTCATTGATGATATGTCACATGAGGGAAATGGGATTTGAATGAAAACAAATCAAGAGCTTTCAGCATCCCATGTGCATTCTAGGCTTTGTCAAAGATCCATAGTGGCAACTCCATCATATAATCGCATGAGGCCAAAAAAAACCGTCATCAACTTCCTGAGTCCTGCTTGAAACTGGGATTCTCTGAGTGGATTCCTCCAAAAACACCTCACAGCACTGCTCACATTGACATCCGAATTCGTTGCACCTCGGCACCCATGGACCAATACAAATCCTCTGCGGCGGATCCATGGCGGTGTCTGGTGAGGTGGGGAGTCCCTGACTTGGGTAGTCAGGAAAAGCATCGTGAATAAATACATCTGTTAAAACTGAACAAGAGTGCTTGTGAGGGTAAATTCTCCAAATTGGAGACAAGTACTATTATTCACATCAACTGGATTATCACATATTTACACTATGGGTTTATCATCACATTAAGCCCCACTGGAACTTCACTTTGCCGAAGCCGGGGGTGAGCTAGTTCGACTCTACCACCCCGCTATCGTCTTTCGTAAACCGGCGCTCACCGACTGGCGACCAAATCGTTCAAATCTATATCTACCCAGTGGTAAACCAACAGTTCGCGAACTAGAAAATCACCATGTTTAATGGGCAATTCAACGAACTAAATGGCCATGTTCCAGTTCGCAAACTGTTAGATTCCTCCATCCACTGTCCTTGACGCCGACCATAGAGGGCCAACTCCCAAGCCCAACATGGTAGTCATCCAGCTGCAGGTCCAACCAGGGCTGAGGCAGGCGATGTTCCTCCACCTGCCATGGCAGTTTTTCTTCAGGTTATTCAACAGTTTCCTATGGAAAATGGCCCATTTCGCTGCTGGATGATTTATGATGATTTATGACGATTTACCTATCAAAAACATGGTGATTTGCCATAGAAACCTGTTAAATGACCAGAGGGTAATCATCCCCAAAACAGGAAATGTGAAGCATCGAGAATTGGAACCCTTGTAGAATTCGAAACTTGGAGCTTCGGAGAATCGGTATCACGGAAGTTGTGTGAAACCAAAAGTTCTTGGGTTCTTACCACCAAAGTTGGAGGCTTCAACATGTAATGACCATGCTTACATCCACAGAGATGTGGCCAACCACATCCTGAATCCGGCCCTTGAAATTTGATGCGGTTGGTCAGTATCTTCACTGGATTATCCACTGGGATGACCAACTCTGTCAAGCTAACTTGGTTTTAAGTGAGTCATGGTGCCAAGCGAGTCATGTTCCGCCAACTCATGTCATCCAATGAAGAGAAGTTCAACTTGGCGCTCGAATGAAAAGAATAACGCCTGTGAAGGTCCTTTTGCACTGCGTGATACCACTTTATAAAAAAGAAAAACAGAATTCATCAGCATCAAAACATGGTCAGCACTGGCATCGGCAACCCAGCAACCTGACACCCGTAAAAACCCACCAGGAACTACTTCGGCCATCTCTAAACCGTGCCGCCAGCCTGCAGCCGTTCCTGCACTACCGCACCACGCCACTCAGGAACCACGCTGTCCCAGCCGGAACGCTGCGATGCGGCACCCGCAGGGTTTCCGTAATACCTTGGGAAGCGCAACGCTTCAGGTCCAACTTTGCCAAGAAAACTTGAGGATTTCCAAACTTTGGGGCCTCGTGTTCTTTTTCAGATGATCGACAAAACATGGGAGTTCAACAGAGAAAACTTGACGCTGTGAATGTATATATATATATTATATATATATATATGTGAGTGAATGTCAATAAATCCTTTGATTTATCTTACTTTGATATCATATGAATAACTGGTCATTCGTGGTGATTTTGATTTTTTGCGTTTGGCCTCGATGCTGGTAAAACTGGTTCAGTATCTGCACGTGGTCTGCACAACAATTGAAGTGAACAGAATTGGTAGCCACCAACCTGTTCAACAATGTTGGAGCCACTTCCCATGTAAACCACCATTTGTGTTAGTTTGCGCAAGGTCCTGTCATAATTTGCCCCTTTTTCCACGGCATAACCTCCCTGTTTCATTTCGCTCGTATATTCATAGTTATAGCCAGTTATAGCCTGTCCCCTTGTGCCTCCTATCTTGCTTTACGAATTCGGCATCATAAGCATCAGCACCCAGCTGCAGTACACCGGGCATCAGCAATTTGTCGCTGTGACCTTCAACGAGCCACCTGTAACCAGCAGGAGGCAGACTGGTCAAGGTCTCATCTGAAGCAGTTTATCCACTCATCAGCCATCACCCGTTGGGCTAAAAGATTCGCTAATTGAATTGGCTTGAGGCAAAATATGCAAGAAATACCGATGCTTGATGGATCGGATGAAACATTGGTTCCTGAAAAAGTTCCCGTAGATCTGGCATACTATCCTGTGCAATAAAAGCAACAACAATAATGAAAACAGTACTGATGACACTAATCATAATTCACAGACCTGGTATAAGATGGTTCTGGCATACCCCAAACATAAACCATCATGTAGCATTGATTCAGACAGCTCAGCTTGACTATACTTGGATTGCAATCCACAGTACCCAACTGTCCGGTTTTCTTGTGTAGACCAGATAACTCATCCCAATAAGTAGTGTCCCAAGTCTCCTCATTACCAAGTATCCCCGTCAAACCCTTTCTTCTCATATTTCCCCAAGATAACTTTATCCCCAAATATCTAAATTGTCCCCATGAAATCCCCATATCCCTCTGAAGTATCGTCATTAATCGGGGCTTCAAATTGTTGGCACTTTGACATTCCCATACATTCCCCATTCCATCAAACCATCAAACCACACTAAAATCCCAGAAAATCCCGATTCTTTGGCACTTAACTCCCCTTTTCCACACGGATTCACCTCCCCAGCGCCTCAGGGACAAGACACTGGGCGATGCTCCAGCGCCGAAGGCGGCTTGCCACGTCCAGCTGCGAGTGCCGTGCAACGTGCCCTGCTCGAAGTGCCAGGTGTCGTGGAGGAGCCACGCCTCGAACACAGGGGTGAAACGGCTAGTACTACGAGGTCAGAATGGCTTGGCCTTGAACTATCAGGAAAAAAAAATGCGGAAAAGTTGGTGTAAGTAGATACAAAATGATCCATTTCAGCCTGGTTGGTTGGTTTTGTGCGCAAGGATTAAGGGAAACCGAATGGGCTTCAAGGTCTTTACGCACAAATCATGTTGAAACCTGTAATTTTGCCCTTATCCAATTCTGGTGCCATGTTTCAGCAAACTTGCCTTGCCCCCCATCTTACCTACAACTTACGCATTCACCTTAAATCCTTCCTGAAAAACTGAGATCAATGAGATCAAAAATTTCTCCCAAGGCATCCCGCTAACCCTCCTCCGCTGCACAGCCAGGCCACCCCTTCAGACTTCGCTATCTCCACCTCCACCCGCGCTTCCAACCGATCCCCGGTCGTTTCGACCTCCAAACCCTGCGGGAGCACGGGGCCGTGCCACGTGGTGGGCCATCCATGCACCAAGTCCGTTCCCACGGACCAGAAGAGGTCGAACCTCAGGGTCTGGTAAAACGCTGGGATGGAGTTCACGAACAGGTTCGGGGTTAAGATGCACCAACATCTACAACCTCAATCTTGTTGGTTTTATATGTTATCTTCTGCTTCGTTGGCTACCCTCTGGTGATGAAACATGGTTTGCTGCAAAATCCACCGTTTGCTTCGATGATTTTCCCAGTAAGCCCTCCATTTAGTTCGGGGATTTAAAACCCAGCCATGTTTGTTTTCCCGAAAGGTAATGGGTTCCAAACAGCTGGTGATTATTTATCCCCAGTTTAATCCACTTAATCAACATTTGGGTAATACACTCCCCATCCTTTTCTGGTTAAACCATCCATTTCTGGTCCCGAAAAACGCCAAGTCGCGGGCTGGATACCAGCAGCTTGCCAGCAAAACGTAGCTCCGCCCTTTGAGTCGACAGGCACAGTTCGAAGCTCATGGGTCCTTAAGGCAGTGCTCGGTTTTTCATGGGCAAACTGGTAAACCAATGAAAATGGTGATTTAATGGATATTTGGCATGGACTTACTCGGCAATAATGGGTATTCAATCATTTACCATGCATTTTACATACTTTACAAGGCATTCCTTTTTGAGAGGAGCTTGCAACAGAGACAGAGAATTGTTTCTATTCAACGCCAAGCCATTTTTTTTCTTCCAAAACTCAATGCTTTCCAATATTAGACTATTAAACATTACCTTCAAAGACGACTGTGGCCACATAGTCATCTAATCTGCACTCTTTCAGCACAAGCGTCCATCTTCAACCATCCACCTCTGCTTGCTGAAGATCTGCAACTTGTTCATTTTCCAACTCATCAAATGCAGCGCAAGCGCTAAACAAACCAGACCCAAAGCCGCTGCTCGCCCCACAGTGCTACATCCACGACAGGTTTTCCAGTGATGCGGACGCATGCGTTGTCAGATCAGCCCAGCATGGCCAACCCAGCACCATGGCATGAGCTGTTGCACCACGGTCTGAATCTGAAAAGATCAATGGCTAAAGGAGAGGAAAGCGAAGATGTCTCAAGTCTCAAGTCGCAAGTGGTGGAGTGGTGGCAAGTCCTTTCATCCATGACTTTTTCTGCACATTGATCAACAAATCACCTAATCTGATAGTCCTTGGAAAAGGTAACTCTGCCCGCCAAAGATGCAACCTGTAGGATTCCACTTTTCGATACTTCGCCCAGGACAAGGTGGCACTGCTGACGTCGAGCTGATTCCAATGAGGCTCTCGTGCAACTTGCACAACCTCGCAAGGAGTCTCTCGTGAGTCTGAATGATTTTTGCTCAATTAGGACTTCCCAAAAATTTCAATGAAAATCCATGTTTTTCAGTTTTTGCCAATCATTTCAGTGAAGATTCTTTTCAAAACCCATCCCAACCTATGGCCAGTATATCACAGTATAGAAATATAATTGAAAAAAAAATATGTATACAATGTTTCCCATCTTTCCTCATCCCCAGTAATCACTAAATTTCATAAATTCTAGTCCAATGTATCAAACATCATCCCATGTAGCTGCCAACCGCAGCGCAAAGATCCCCCCTCTGTGAGTCCAAAGCCTTCCCCAGCGAAACACTCCATCGCATCGTGTTACCCCCTGGCAAATGTCACAGTTTTTGGGCTGATTTCTGGGGGGAATCCACAGAAAATTGCAAGAAACCATAAGAAACCGCAATCAATAAAGAAATTGAAAAAAAGACACCATCGAACTGGCAAGGAATCCTTTTGTCTGTCGTTTTCGGTCTTCAAAGAGGAATGCACCGAACATATGCCAACAAAAGCCTTGTTTTGTCAGCGCTGCTCCCAGGTTCCTGTCGACCACTTCCAAAACGGAAGAAAGGAAGATCACCTTGGGCCAACTCTACATGGCACTTCTGACCACTTGGCACTTGGGCCTATAGACACAGAGAATGCAAATCCAGGGTTGAAGATGATGCATGCAAGCAATGGTCGCAAGTCTTGCTTCTCTTTGCATAATCAGCACTTCAGACCTCTCGTGGTCCATTGGTGCGTTCAAAGATGAGAAAAAGCATGTCGAAAAAAACAGACTTGGGTTTGTCTGAAAATGGGGCTTTTGGGACATAGCCATAGCAGTATACCATAGTATACCCGCAAAATGCTCATTCAAGAACGAACATGTGGATCAACCATTGGATCATTGGATTCTGGGGGTACCCTGTGTTGCTCGACAACTTTGAGCTCAACACGAGACTCCCGGCGAGAGCTTGAGACCTCAGCACCAAGGACCAATCAAGGCTAGATGCACTGTTCCACGTCACAGTATGGTCACAGTTGCTGATCTCTCACCATGGATCAATACTTGCATGTGATTGGGTCAAAAACAGAAAAAACGGGGAGCAAACTTTGGATTTTCGGCACCAATTTCTAAACCCTTCATCCATTTCGGACTGCATAAATTACACAGAAGTTCCGTTGCAGCCAAGCAGCCAAGCCCAGCACGTCGCTACCCAAAACCTGCTGGGATGATCCAACTGAAAAATGTGGACCCTTCACTCCTTACGACTGGCATAGAACTTCCTGAAAGTCACCAAAGTATTGGCCAACTTCAGGCATCGTCCCGGAAGTTGGTTTCCCCAACCCCCCACATAGATGGCTTCACCAGTTGTAGCATCTTATAGTTTTAGGTTTTGAAAAAAGTTCCACGATGTTCCACCAAAAAACATCCCCCGGCCTCCGGCTCATGGCGCTCACGGCGCTCACGCCTCCGCCATCCCACAGAGCTGTTCCTTCGCGGCTTCGAAGACTCGGCGCAGCAGCTTGGAGTCCAAGCCTTGGCCCAGCGAAACGCTCCAGCGCATCGCACCCGCCTGCAGAATGCCACGGTGGAAAAAATATGGGGGCTGAGTTGTTGGAGAAATCCATAGAAATTTGAAAGAAAACATCAAAACTGGTAGGATCACTGCATTAGAAATGGTAGCAATGCTTGGTGTGGATGTGTGTTTGTGGGAAAATTACCATCAAAATCTGTTGTCGGAATCTGTTGTCTGAATCTTTGAACAGACCGTTAGCAGATGCAAGTGCAATACACCAACAGTACTGCATATGATTCGGAACTTTTCAACATGGGGATCTCTAAACCAGCTGTTGGGCCACCCTGCGAACCTTTCCCATTCTTTCCCATTCTTTCCCATCGCAAATCTCACATGGATCCCTTGAAATTAAAGGTTTCAGTTCAATAATGACAATCGTTATAGAGGAGGTGTTCAATTTGTCACACCTCCAACTGCGCCTTGTTTCCCTCTGAGTGAATCATGCAGCTCACCCCCTCGTATCCATCAAAACGTTGCGCCGTGTAGAGCTTGGCACCCTCTGGGATTTGGCACACACCTGGATGGGATTTTGCTGGCAGTCATGGCATATGTTCAGGATTTCACTACAAATTAATTTGATGTTCAATGTAATTTTATGATATTATATTATATTATATTGTATTATATGATACTGAATATTATATGATACTGAATTTATGTTGCAAACCCTTTCACAAGAACAAATCAGCTGCAGTTCATTCTTTTGCGACTATGGCGTGTCAGCATGCAAAGTAAACTGCTGGTGGTGAAGGGGATGGCGGTGGGTAAGCGAAACCACACAAATCGTGGGGCACCCACCCACCCTCCCTATTTGAGAGGAAAGTTGCATTCCATCGTAATGCATTTGCAAACATAAGGTGAAGTCTCACGCGACAAACACATTATGTTGCAAACCCTTTCACAAGAACAAATCAGCTGCAGTTCATTCTTTTGCGACTATGGCGTGTCACGAGCTCTGTCACCCCATTCTCAGTGATTCTCGTGACTATGCCATTGAGTAAAGAAAAAGCATCAGCTGAAACATTTTTCGCTCTTTGAAAGATTTCTGCCGACACATCGTTTCTGGAAGGAGGATCTGCAATGTTGCTTTTTGAAGGTACACGTGCCAGCCAAGTGAAAGAATGAATGTTTGATTCCATTTCAGCAAAAAGACCTGCTAGGAGATCCAGTGTGGAGTTGTCGGATGACCCTTTAAGTAAAGAAAACTTGGTTCCTTCATTGTCAACAAAGATCACACAACGCCGATTGCTGAAGCGTTCTTTCCACAGTGCAAAGGCTAAAACCGCGGCAAGGGTCTCTGCTTCAAAGATGATTTGTTTCTTGGACGCTTCACCCAAAGCATTGCGACCATTGCGGTCAACCGGCACAGAGAAGAATTCAAGCTCTCCATCAATACACAAGACTCCACCCAAACCACAAGGCCATATCCTGTCTGTAGGCTCATAGCATGCATCTGTAAAGATGATGACATTCTCTTTGCAAAGTGATTTTATTTCTCTTGGCACGTTGCTCTGCAGCAATTCCCTGAACAAACGCAGAAAGAAGATGTCTTTGGTTTGCAGTTTATGTCTGCGCCCTTCAGCGAAATCACTCAGGACTCTGAGACATCTTCGACCAGTACGGCCGAACATCTGTGCTTCTGCAAACTGCATACGCCCGCGCAATCTCTGCGCTTGCTTCGAGCTCAACACATTACCAGTTATGATCTCTTGGAGATCGTTGCACAGCTCTCGCACCCGGGACTCAGTGTTCTTGACAAACACTGAGCCACGGCAAGAATTGTGTAAGTCAAACATGACACCAAGTGCTTCGCAAAGGTTATCAAACGGTGAACATTTGTCACCTTCTTCTCCAAAAGCCCATCCAAGCAATTTGAACAATGAACTGATGGTGGTCTCTGTACATGTGATCAACGCCGGACTGCTGAAAGCGATGTAATCGTCATAAAATGAAGTCCATAGAATTCTGCAGCCAACGACTCCTATCCACCATATAGCCCGCGCCAAACGCAAGAATGCATGAACACTCCTTATGGCACCAAAAGGAAGCACGAGACTCCTAAAGAGTTGCATGCGGCCAGAGTTAGGGTCAAATACCCTGATACAAGAAAACTTCTTCCCTTCACTGCTCAATGCAACTTGTCTGTATGCGCTCGTTAAATCAAATGTTCTCGCTACCACTGCTGAATTAAGCTCAAGCTCCTCACAAGTATCAAACCACAAAGCAAGCAATGCACACGCTACATCAATGGTGTGAAGGACCGGCGACTCAACTGTCGTGACGCAAGTGTTCACGCCAGATTCTGTATAATCATCTATGAGTCGAACTTTGCCCTTCTTTTGCAACAAGCCGAACCGGCGTGAGATGGGGTGGCTGTCGGGCACCTCGCATTGCTGCAAAGGGCCCAACAGCCAACCCTTCTCAACTTCCTCCAGGGTCTTGGTCCACACAACCTCGTCGATATGACTATCGCCTGACCCCGAGGCTTCTGCAATGAGGTTCGGTCTGATTCTGGCCGCATTTGCACAGAGTTCTTCAACTGTAGAAAGGGCTGGGATGAATTTTCCCGGGAGCATGCCAGTCTCATCAACAGTGCCTGTCAGTTTGGCACCTTGTTTCAATTCGTTTACAACATCCATGTCAGGAAAACTGGTAGACTTCAAAATTTCTTCAAATAAAAGAATTCTCTTGCTGGAAACCGCCCTCGCAACCTCTGGGTCCATGCTTTCTTTCAGCCTCAGTTCATCCTTCGCAAGCTCTTTGGCACGCTTGGCCCAGGTAGCCAAAAATCTGGCTCTTTCCAGCGCAATTTTATGTGCAGGCGTTTTCAGGTTATAATCCACGGCTTCACGCAATTCACATGGTAATGCAAGTGCAACATCAAGCGGATGTTTGGACGTGAGGGCCTGCTCCACAAACTCAACGTCACTCCAGAAAATTCCAAAAACTTTTACACAAACCACGCAAGGAAACGAAAACAATGTAGCATCAACTGAAAAATCACATTCATGAACACTGACATGTAACTTCCTCAAAGTGCACTGCTCATTCACGGCTTTGCAAAGCAGCTGCAGATCATCTCCCCCCACTTGAATTTCATGCAGCAATTTTGAAAGCGGAGGTATGGCCAAG